TTCCTTCCCTGCAGGTATCAAGGCTGTGTTCTCAGGCCACTACCACAGGAACGCCGGGGGCACCTATCAGAACCTCGACATGGTGGTGTCATCTGCCATCGGATGTCAGCTGGGCAAAGACACGCACGGGCTCCGGGTCGTGGTGGTGACAGCTGAGAACATCGTTCATCGATACTACAGCTTAGATGAGCTGAGTGAACGTGGCCTAGACCCCGACCTGATGGAGCTAATGAAGAAGAAATGATTGTCCTTCGTGAGCTACTCAGTCCTATTTCCACTCCTTGTGATTTTCTCAGAGACAGCAGCTGTGTATGTCTCCTGCCTGAAAAACGAAAGGCGACGTGGCGTCTTCGTGAGTTTCTGTCCTTTTGCATAAATCAGGGTGCTGGGCTGTTTCCTAAATGTATTCAAACTAGAACTGCGCTTCCTTTGAAAAAAGAGCATAGGAACCTGGAAACAAATTAAAAAAAAAAAAAAAGAAAGAAAACTGATGTCAGACTGTCTCTTTATTGGTGCTAGAATAATTTCTCCTAATCCTGCATTTCTCAGCTCTGCTTTGTTGTTGTTGTTGTTGTTAAGTGCCGTCGAGTCGGTTCCAACCCATAGCGACCCTGCACAGGGTTTCCGAGGGTGTAAATCCTTACGGGAGTAGAAAGCCTCATCTTTCTCCCGCGGAGCGGCTGGTAGTTTCGAACCGCTGACCTTAAGGTTCGCAGCCCAATTCGTAACCACTACGCTACCAGAGCTCCTTCAGCTCTGCTTTAGGGTGAGATTATTTTCTTACAGCAGTGACGCAGGTCTGCCTGCATACTTCCAGCCCCTCCTGATACCCAGGTGTGGTATTCGGTCATTCCTTGAACAGACTGCATCAGATTGTCTGAAATTGTGCTCTTAACTCCCAAAATGTCGGGTCAATCAATCTTTTCCTGCCTAATGAAACAAATTCCCGCATGCCTAGTCTTCCTGTCAGAGGGAGCCAGGTGGCCTGAAGTTGCTATTAGGTTCTGAAGCATCTTTTGTTGATGATGGTCAGAGTAGACACTGGGGACTCAGGGATGGTTTCCATTTGCCTTGTTGAGATGAGAAAAGTCATAAACATAAAAAACGAATTCTCACCCACGAGATGAGAGTGAAGCCCTATAAATGTACCCATTCCCCTACAGTCACTCAATGCCAACAAGATCGGAGTTTGTCCATGCGTCCGTCTCATGCTCGGGGTTCACTCCTGTGGGATGAAATACACCAGTCTCCACAGAATTGATTCCAACTCCTGCGTGTGAGAGTAAAACTGTGCTCCTCCAGTTTCCAGTGGCTGGCTTGTGGGAAGTACATCTCCAGACTTTCTCTCGAGATACCTCTGGGGGGACTTGAACCTCCAGCCTTAGCAAGTGAGCATGTTGACCATATGCTCCACCCAGAGATCAGAATGTGCCTCTCTTTAAGGAGAGTCTTTACTGTGGCTACTGTGAAAGAAAAAGTAGAACAGAGTGCAGAATTCCCAAAAGAAATGAAGCAGAAATTCTAGCCGAGCAAACACGCTGCTTTGTGCGCCGTGATATAAATCAGTGCCTGCTTTGATGAAACATGTGCGTTGTTTAAAATTGACATTGTTGTTCTGTAATTCACCCAGCTTCAGATCAGCCTTCCTGACGCAGGGTGTAATTTCCAGGGCATTGGTTTATTCCTGTTCAACCCCCTGCTGAAATGTGAATTTCCACCCCAGATAGGCGGAATCAGAATCCACAGTTTAACAAGACCCCAAGATGATTCTGATAGATCTTTTGTATAGTTAAGAATCACCTGGGGCCTTGTTAACATGCAAACTCAAATTCTGTATATCAAAACCACCAAACCCACTGCCTTGAGGTCATTCCAACCCTCTGCTGTGAGGTCACCGACCCTAGTAGGTGAGGCTGCCAGTCTTACAGAAGTAAACAGCCTCATCTTTCTCCTACCGAGCTACTGGTGGATTTGAACCACTGACCTTCGGGTCATCAGTCCAGTGCTTATCCTACAGTCATCAGGCCTCCTTGATTAAGCATACGTGGTATAGAAATGTAAATTCTCAGCAGGGGGCTCAAACCAAAATGAACAGGTTCAAAACCCTTGTAATTTCATCCCCATCATCTTCTTAGCAGTGGTCCCTGTGGACAAGTAATTTAGGGACCTGTGACTAATTGCAGGTAATTATAGTATGACTCAGTAACATTCAGTAATCCTAAAACAACTTTAAAAATCGACTGGTTACAAATGAACTGCAAAGTCCATTAAATTACGCGACTTTCTTGTTAAAAAGTTTTAGTCAATGTAGCAAAACTATGGGAAATAAAATAGAAAGATAATTGGATATGTAAATTCATAAGGAATAAAAGGCAAAAAGTTAATTATACTTCAGATTGGGGACACATTGTTATGTGGCATAAGAAGATTAAGAATTTTCAACATTAAAATGGTTTTCTGTGTTCTTGTTTCGGTGTTTACTTTTCTTTAAACATGTGGCTACTGAAGGTCAAGCAGAAGGATTCAGTGAGTGGTGTAATGAATAAACCACATGTTTGAGGCTTGGGATGTGGTAACACTTTCCAAACTCTATTTAAGAATTGTCAAAGAGCAATGTCACATAGAATTGCCATATGGCATAGCAGCTCCACTTCTAGGCATCGACCCCAAAGATCTGAAAGCAGGAATATAACGGAGACAGGTACACCCAGGTCCATTGCAATGCTGTTCACAAGAGCCAAAAGGTGGGATCAGCAGATGGAGAAACAAAATGTAGTCTGTGTGTATAATGAGATATTGTTAAGAACTATGGAGTCCGTTCCAACTCATAGCGACCTTATATGAGGTTTCTGAGGAGTGGCTGGTGGGTTTGAACCACCAACCTTGTGGTTAGGAGCCACAGCAGGACTCCATTTGTTGTTAAGTGTTGTTGAGTTTGTTGTGATTCAGTATTGGTTTTCTGAGGTACGGCTGGTGGCTTTGAACCATCAACTTTGCAGCTAGCAACCCAGAGCTTATCCTACAGTGCCACGCAATGGCTCCAGGATTGCATTACTCAGCTATAAAAGGAAATGAGTGACGTGCGCGAGTCACAAAGGACTAATGTTGTGATCGCACTTCCATGAACCCCATAGAGTAGGCAGAGGATAGAGATCTGGGTGGTGACCAGGGGTGAGCGGGTGGATGTGAGCAGGGAAAGAGGACCCAGTACACAGGGCTGATGGAAAAATGTGGAAACTGGCTGATGGTGGTGTCAGGAAACACGAGGAGTATAATCAGTGAGCTGGAGAGAGCGTGTGAAGACTGGGCACGGCGGATCCTTTCTCACACACACCACAGCTGTGTTCTAAGAAGGGCCCAAAGTCTTAACCTGCGAAGGACAGGAAACGCAGTGTATGCAGGGCCTGCTGCTCAGCCAGAGGGAGAAATGAAGTCTGGGTCCATGGATGGAGAGATGACCTGCTGAGTGAAATAACTCCATCGCAGGAGGACCAGTATTGTAAGGGTTAAATTACATGAAAAGGCAAATGTCTAGGCACCAAAGTTTCTTAGTGGCTGCCGATAAGCACTGGACTGCAGTTGAAACCCACCAGCTGCTCTGTTGGAGAAGTGCGAAACTTTCTGCTTCTGTAACGACGTACACCCTATTCAGGGTCACTGTGAGACAGAATTGACTCGATGACAATGGTATTTTTGTGTTTGTTTTTATAGATGGGGTAGTTACTAGGGCAGGGAAGGAGGAGGAAAGGGGTGTTATTGCTTATAGAGCACTTCATTTTAGTGTATAGTGAACAATCACACTGATTAAGGCTTGTTGTCGTTAGGTGCCAACGAGTCAGTACCGACCCATAGCGACCTTATGCACAGCAGAACAAAACACTGCCCGATCCTGGGCCAACCTCACTACTGTTGCCACGCTTGAGTCCATCGATGCTGCCACTTGGCCA